AACAGCTGCAGAGTTTTTCCAAATGAAAAATGGAGGCAAAGATCAGTAACAGCCCAGACAAGATTACATCTGACCAGTCTGGTGTATGAAGAGTTCATGATGTCGTCACAGGGAAAATACACCTGTCAATCACCGGATGTACAGCCGAGAGAAGAGAGAAGGCGTTACCTGCTACTGAATCCTGTCAAGATTTCTTCTCATGCAACAACAGGTCTTCCCCATGGGGATAAATGAAGTTTAATCATGTCTAAGTGCTGCTGCATTTTGCTGCACTGAAGCCCAGTTTCTCTCTAAAGCATCTTCATACTGATCGGCCAACTTCTCTTTAAACTCCCTGATTATTTCTTCAGCAGTTTGAGTTTTCGATCAGTGCCAGAGTCGGGGAACAAACTCACTCCGCTCATTAGGAATGAATGTAAACCAGTCTGTACTGCAGTATTGATTAACACACACACACAAACACACACAGACGTACATGTACACACAGGGAAAGGGAGAGTGTGAGCAGTGATTTACACTAACAAGTCACTCAATATATAATATCTCTCAATACCTGACTGTCCCCAGACACCCATCATTCATCCTGTGTGTGTGTGTGTGTGTGTGTGTGTGTGTGTGTTGCAGCTCCAGTATTAATACAGGCCTAATGGAGCCCAATGGGAGCTGCAGTGTTCCCTCTGAAAATGATTTAATTACATTTGCAAAGTGGATGAGTCTGGAGGGAGTGTTTGCTGCGTCAGGGCTTTGGCACACACACACACACACACACACACACACACACCACTCTGTCAAGACCAGGAAGAGGCACAGTCTTTCAATTAGTCTGATTGGCCGCTGCTGCCTGACGTCTGGAGGCAGTGTTTTATTGGCTCTCTGTTTCTTTTCACCTCTCATCTCTCTCAGTCTCCTGCTCTCCTCTTTCTCTTTTACTTCTTACTTATCTCTATTTTTATTAATCTCACTCTGTAGATTGCTTCATTTTTACATCCATCCCTATTAGTGTCTTTTAAAGCCTTCCTCTCTCTGCATATCTCTTACTCATCTTCCTCCTCTCTTTACTGTATTAAATCATGCATAACTGTATGATGTGATAGAGGTCTGATCAGGTGTGTGCTTCCTCTCCACACACAGTCACTCAGCTGTCAGACCTCCACACACATCTGGTTTCTCGGCCTGATGTATTTCGACATTTTTCTTTCTATGGAAACAACACTTAGGGCTCTAGTTTCACAGACCGGGCGAGGCGGGGGCGCAGTGCACCTGCGCTTCGCCAACTGGGTGTGGCCAGGTGGATTTTGAAAGTTTGGCACACCGTGCACACTAGCGCAGCTACTCCTCTATACCACCTCCATCCCTCATACCTGCGCAAGTAGGAAAGAGGGAGGAGAGAAGGCGTGGAGTGGGTTTTACACACATCACACCAATCAAATGAGCCCCTCTCCTCGCCCTTAAATGCGCCGCGTGAAGGCGTAATGAGAGTTTACTCAATTTACCATGGCAGAAGAGAGCAGCAGCGTCAGACGGCCAAACTTCTCCCAGGAGGAAACTGATGTTTTGGTCCGGGAGGTCCAAGCTCGCAGTGTCCGAATATACGGAACTGCGAGCAGACCTCCACGGGCTGATGATGCAAAGGTAGCATGGGAGGAGGTCACCACAATTGTAAATCAATGTTGCGTTTCTCTCGTGCGCGCGCGCTCTCTTTCTCTCTCGCAGTCTCACTCTGTTTGAGATGAAGATGACAGATGCTGAATATATACTCCCTATCTGATGCTGTGGCTGTTTGTGGTTGGCTGAGAGGGATGTGAACTCATTAGTTTGCAGCTGTGTTAATCAAATCAGGTTGGGTTTCCATTGCACGTGCCAAACGTGCCAAATGGTGCCAATCCCCTTTGATCTGACATCAGCTGTGACGGGACAGTCGATATAGAGATACATTTATGTGCTGATTGCAGATAGTTGCATTGAATAGTGTTTTTTGGGTATTTATTGCATTATTAATGTGCCTGATATTTTGGAAACCTGCCTGTGAGGTTTTGGTGACGTGTGCGCACTGTCTGCCGGTCAGCCAAACTTCGGCTTACACCGGCTGCGCTCTGCCTGCGCTGACAGTAGACCTGGTTTCAGCTGGTGAGCTTTTAGCGCACCTTCGGCGAAGCCTTTTGGCACTAAACTGTCACTGCGCCAAGCTGGATCTGTCAACACCTCCCCCTGCTGTGCCGCCACACCCATCTCAGCGCACCTCGGTCTGTCAAACTACCAAAGTGAGCGCGCCTCGGGTTGCACTGCTCGAAACTAGCTCTGCGCGGGGTTCGCCACCCTGCGCTGCAAGGGGAAACTAGAGCCCTTTATGTCTAAGTGAGAAGGTGAGCTGTTCGTTGCACCAAAATATGAATAATACTGCGACAAAATGACCATTACTAGAATTAGAATTTTTTCCATGGGTGCACAAAAAAAGTCATCATCATAATCTAAAAGGTTATTCCTCTTGCCAACATGAAAGTTCACAGAAAACTTTAATTCAGTCTCTGTATTAGACCAAGAGATGTTTTTGTGTAAATGTGCTTATAGTGTAGCAGTTCGGGTTTCAAATAGGAGTCTAAAATAAGTTGTCATTGTCTGGGGAGCATGAATGTGCTCCGTAAATTGGATTGAAAAGGTCAAGGAGTTCATATATTTATATATAAAAATAATTAGGATTTATCCAGATACTTTGTCATGAAGAATGTTTCGGCCCACTGAAAAAAAAAATGACCTGCTGTGACATTTGATGAAAGGCTGAGGGTTCACCAAAATCAATAGACTTGATCCTCTGGGGACCAAGAATATCAAGTGTCATAGAAATCCAGTCAGTAGACATGTATCATTGTGTCACTGATGTATGAAAAGATCCCTTACCATCAGGCCCAAAGGGAATCAGCAGATTTTTAAAATTGTTTTTAGCAGTGATCCAAAATGAAAATCTGCAGAGTTCTGCATAATATTTATTTTCTTTTTTTGCTCATAATGCGATAGACAGTATTTATTTATGAACCTGAAATTAACTCAAGCAGCTTAATGAACTGCTCAGTAGATTTTAGTAGAAACTTTGAATCAGAAATTTAATTTAATCATGAATGCTTCAAGAAAATATTTAAACGTTTTGAGGAAAAGTCAATTGACAAACTGTGGGACACATGGCCGTTAAAATGGAAGGTTCAGTATGGAGCAGCGAGAACAAACATTCATTTGCCAATCTATAAACAATTTGTAAGCAGTCAAACATTTCTTCTCACTACACCGCTAACTTTGATTTTAATGCTAACTGAATACAACACACGGCTGTCACACCTTTGCACAAGGAGATGGGGGAGACAGTGACAACATTCTGACTTTTACAAGCAGTATCTATATTCCGAAAATCTGCAGGGGCAGATTCTGCATGGGCCTGCTGACCATGCACCAGTGTCTGCAGAAAAAGGTCAAAAAGGTACCAGGATCTTTGGATGTATTTCCTTTGCACAATCAAATATCCGTCCCAGATGGTAGATGGTAGTCTGGCCAATAGTCAAAGAGACATCATGCTCTGGATAAACTGTTAAATGACCAGAAAAACAGACTGACCACGCCTCTCTGGTCTTTGTCCCCTTTGCTGGTAGAGCAATCAGTTCAATTCAATCAATTTTATTTATAAAGCCCAATATCACAAATCACAATTTGCCTCACAGGGCTTTACAACATACGACATCCCTCTGTCCTTAGGACCCTCACAGCGGATAAGGAAAAACTCCCTTTAACAGGGGAAAAAAATGGTAGAAACCTGAGGAGGGATCCCTCTTCCAGGATGGACAGACGTGCAATAGATGTCGTACAGAACAGATCAGCATAATAAATTAACAGTAATCCGTATGACACAATGAGACAGAGAGAGAGAGAGAGACAGAGAGAGACAGAGAGAGAGAGAGAGAGAGAGAGAGACAGAGAGAAATGCAAGACAGACGGTAATGACAGTAGCTTACAACAACATTAATTAAAGTAATAATATAATCAGTATTACAGGCTATTGTAGTACAATATGTTGAAAGTATGTATTAATATCTGGCAGTATACATATGTGACACTAATCATATGTGTATAATAACAGTAGAAGTATGACTAATGACTAATGATAGCAGCATCAGGAGGCATCTGGCAGGACCACGGCAGCAGCACAACCACACACGTCACGCTGTCCAGGCACCGCTGCGATATGAGTTAATCTGAGAGACAGTGGAGCACAAAGGCTCCGGAGAAGAAGCCGAGTTAGTGACATCCAGAATGGCCGAGTTAGCAAGATACAGTAACAGGACATGAGAGAGAGAGAGACAAGGAGAGAAGGTGCTCGGTGTATTATAGGGGGGTCCTCCGGCAGACTAGGCCTAAGTCAGCCTAACTAGGGGCTGGTACAGGGCAAGCCTGAGCCAGCCCTAACTATAAGCTTTATCAAAGAGGAAAGTCTCAAGTCTAGTCTTAAACGTGGAGACGGTGTCTGCCTCCCGGACCTTAACAGGAAGATGAAGAGCAAAACTAATGTAAAATTTTCTTTTCTTCACAGTTATTGTCTTTATTTTAAAACTGTTTTAATTAGAAGCTGAGCGATCGGTTTAAAAATACTATTACGATATTTTTAGTGAGAATTGTAGCAATGATACGATAGTATCACAATACTTGTGTGACATATCATGTTTGTGAATCATACATACATACATACATAGAGTATATTTGACATATCGCCCACCCCTACTTCTTTTCAGTTTTTTCGTGGGGTCTATTGGCATGTAAAATAATCTGTGATAATTTCTCCTTTTCAGAAACTCAAAACTATGAAATGTCAAAATTTTCTGTTCAAAGATTTATTTTACATTTTACCTACATTTTAAGGATCTTGACTTTTTACTGTTTAATCTTTTAGAAAGCTGTTGGTGTAATGTAAGTCATATGTCATATGTGTCATATGAGTCGTGTGTGTGTGTGTGTCTTTGTAGGTTCTGGGACTACAGTAGGAACCAGCCTCTTCTGGACACTGTGGAACATCACTCAGAGTTTGTCTGTGGACTAGACTTCAACCTGCATATCCCCAACCAGGTAACACACACACACACACACACTTCTTCTTCTTTTACTCAAACGGTTAATTTTTCAGTATCACCTGAGGTTGACCTTATCTAAAGTTCACATAGACATTGCAGAGACATCGTTCGGAAACCTACCACCTGTGCTTAACCCTGTGATGACTGGAGCTGTGTTGTTGCAGCTCCTGCTTTGGTTTCCTGCAACAAAGTGGACTCAGGTCAGGGCCAGTAGAAGTGCAGTGATATTTATGGATCGCTGTCTTTGGGAAGGTGCAAATCTCGTTGTATTGGACTGTTGTGGTGAAGACGCTGCTGATACTAGAGGTGCAGTTACACTCCACCAGAGGAAGGGAAATGGTTTTAAAAAGGAGGTCTGCACCGTCGCAACGTGTAGGTAAATTTCTGGCGAGGTACATGCCAGGCTACAGTGTAGGGTACCCAGTTACACAGATCCTACGCCGTAGGTACAGCATTGATTAAAGGCATTAGTATAAACTTTAACATCCTATAAGCTAGTTCTTTTCTAGCATAACCCGACCTTAAAAGCAACGCTCTTGATTTTGTTCACATAAATAAAACATGGATATAAGCAGATGAAACAAGCTTCCTTCTCAGGATGTCTTGGCTCACTCTCAGGGACATGGAGAAGAGTTCACATATTTGGGGGAAATAAACCTGCGGAGATGGTCCTTCTTGTGAAGGAACCACAGATCTGTTAAGAGACCTGTAAAAACAAAGGTCGGTCATTTTTTGTATGTAGGCTCAAGGAGGACTGCACAGTCAGAAAACAGTGGTATTTATTTCTATTAATTCATGAATTTCCTGCCGACTGTCGCACTGTATGCCCAAAGTAAAACCGGAACCGAGCTCACAGAGAGATGGATGACTGGTTTACAACGAGAATTAGCCTTAAGACTGTGTATTTCTGTCATATTCTGAATTTGCATCTTTGATAGTAATAAATAATTATTATACAAAAAGAAAATTTGCAGTATTTGCATTTTCCCGAGTTGTGTTCCAGATTTAGGAGTTTATCTTTCTTCCTTTTCTCACCTCTTTGTCCTCCCGTCAAGTCTGTGGGTGACCACTGAGTCACCGTGTCTACATCCAGTTCTCTATCTGTTTGTGAGTGTTCGCGGTAGTTCTGGAAAATGGGGCCATCCATCAAAGTGTCTGCACATGAGCAGGCCGAGGTTAACCCACACACAGTCACACACAGTAGCGCAGGGCTGTCTGGCAGCTGTGCGTCGGGGTTGAGAAGCAGTGAGTTGAAAAGGCCACTCGCGTCTAATCCAGTTTTTTGGCTAATTTGGAAAGGCGGTGTCTGAGATCAGCCTGATGTCAGCGGATAAATGCGTGGGAAACAGTGACAAAAAAGAAAAAACATTCTGGGATGGGCGCTGTGATTTGGGAAATGAGTGTTGAAGACTCCTCTGTGACCTGAGGTTATCACCCGGCCGTTACTACATCAGTTTGAAACTCTTCAAGGAAAGTTTAGCTTTCTTAGAACGGCTTTAAAAATGCCTCCAGCCTTTATAATGTGATATATTTTCATGTGTCCACGTACTCACATAGAAAAAGAGTGGCTTTGCATGTTTTAGCCCATTAACTACAAATGATGCATAACACCACTGCTCACCATTTTCCAAAGCGTACCATTAAGGTTGAGATTGATTTCCCACCTTCAGGGTGGATATCGGATTCACTTCATTTCAGTAACACTGTGAAAACCAACCAGCAGAGCCAGGTTTGAAAACTTTTCCACGAGACGCCAACACCCAATGATGTGAGTCGACTCAGTGGTGTTGTGAAGAAGGTTTTGAGTCACAAATAATAAAACATCAGCTTCTGGACACTGTGAATATAAACTCTAGATCTGAGGGCAGTTTGCAAGATGTTTGTTTCTGGACCCAAGTGTGTGACGGACGGACTGAACAATCGAAGTGACCATCTGTTGCTTCTGCTTGAGTGGTTCAACTTTTAAGGCAACAAAATATTTAGCTGAGCTATCTCAATCAAGTCTCTGCAGGTTCAATTTTGTGGCATCTGTGTTTCTTCCTGAAATGAATCCACACATTGGACTGTTTCTTTTTCCCCGCCATGACTTCTTCTTGTTGCAAGTTTCCAGCAGTTTAGACACATGAGTTTGATGTCATTGTTTTCCAATGTGCAAATGTCGGAAAAAAATACGCGCGCATCAATAAAAGGAATTGATAAGCTCAGAGGCGTATGATTCCAATGGATTGAACAATTGGGAACCGATTCTTGATTCCCAGCCCTGATCACTTTGCTCCAGGCAACAAGCCAAAATGTCTGGGAATCACTGTTTCAGTCGATGAGCTAAAACTTGTAAAATCCCTGATGTGATCCTTTAAATTTTAGTCTATGCAGCATGTGAATTCTTATCTAGGACACAGTCTTTAATGCTTTTTACCTCAGACAAAACCTGCCTCATAGATTACTGCAGCTTGTCCTTGAGAAATTTACAAATCAGTCGGATGTGGAGCTGTCCCTGGTTCTGAAGCTGCTGCTCTGACAGTGGATGAGTCTGAGGATATACATTGTTTTCTTAATAGCAACAAAGCCCATATTCTTTCATCACAGTGTAGTTTATTTTAACTCAATCCCACACATACCATCCTGTTGCCACTAATGCTCATGAGAGCACCAAATGTGGATTAATCCACCGCTGAAAATAGTCCCCAACATTTGCACTGTTTCCTCGTGTTTGTTTGATAAAAACTTCACTGAGCAGCTGTTTTAGGAAATTAGTGTCTTTTTATGCCTCCACGTTCGTATAGCTGTGGGAGTGGGCAGTATGTTTTGGGGTTGTCCATCCATCCATCCATCCTATCCTTGTGAACACAATATCTCAAGAATGCCTCAAGAGAATTTCTGTCCACTTGGACTCAACAATTAAGTGATCAGTTTTTGGTGTTCATAGGTCAAAGGTCAAGGTCACTGTGACCTTTTCCGTCTCATTTTTGTCAACATAATATCTGAAAAACACCTCAAAGGAATTTCTTCATATTTGCACTAAAATTGAAACTTGAGGATGACTGTTGTGGAAGTTCTCTGCTTCTGGTGAAGAATGAAGAAAGAGCCTTCTGCCTGCCGACAAGGTTTTTATTTTATTGGCAAAGAAAAGGTCAATCAACACACGAGCGGTCAGAATGAAGAAAGACCTCAAGCAGGGGAAGGCCTAAACATTTATACCTGAGGAACGCCTCTTAAGGTGTGATTCACACTCTTTTGTCTGCTGCAGGTATTGGCATCGACCCCCTAGGGTGTGTTTCACACCTGGGGTATCCTGCAGGGTTTTGTATCCAGGTGGGAGGTTAAGATTCTAGACATCACAATTTCAAACACAAAAGGACCTGGTATCTTGGTGAGAAAGCGGGAGGTGGGGTATCTCAGGTGGTTGAAAACACAAAGAAATTGGAATTAAAATTACAATGACCTGGTAAGATTTTGATGGTCAAAGGTCAAGGTCGCTGTGACCTTGCCTCCATCTCATTCTCGTGAAAACAGTATCTCAAGGACAGCTTGAGGGACTTTCTTCAAATTTGGCTCAAATGTCCGCTTGGACTCAATGAACGCATTACTTTTTGGTGGTCAAAGGTCAGGGTCACTGTGACCTTGTCTGTCTCATTTTTGTGAATGTGGTATCTTAAGAATTTGGTACAAATGGTCACTTGGATTCAACAATGAACTGATTGGGTTTCGGTGGTCAAATGTCAGAGTGACCTTGCATCTGTCTCATTCTCATGAACACAATATCTCAAGAGCACCTTGAGGGAATTTCTTCAAATTTGGCACAAACATTCACTTGGACTACAGAATAATTTGATTCAAATTTTGTGGTGAAAGGTCAAGGTCAGCGCAACCTCACATAATATCAAGACGTCATATGCTAATTATAACAAAACTTCACACAAATGTCTAGCAGGATAAAATATTGATGTGATGACATTTTATATCCAGAAGGTCAAAGGTCAGCTTGACTGTGACATCGTCATGTTTTAACGTCATATCTCAGGAACAGAAGGGGAGACATTTGGTCAGATACTGAATTGGTGACTCTAATCTTGAAACTGTGCTGATTGTATAGATCTTCTGAAACTATTTATTTCTGTATTCAGAGATTTATCTCTTCTGTAGGACTCAATGGGCGTGGAGCTGAGAGCCACAGAAGCTTTTACAGGTGCTGTTAGTCTTTTTATGGAATTCATTGACAACAACAAAAATATATCTCAGATTGCTTTTGCTGCAGAGTTGCCTTCACATTATCCTCTCCGCCTCCACTTTACACTTTCACTTCACAGCTTTATTTCCTCAACACGCACCTTTTATCACGAGTTCTCACACAGAACCAATAATAGCTCACTGGAAAATCGGGGTGAGGACTTTTCCAGGACGCAGATAATGACGAGGTGGAAGTGCGTACGTGATAATGCCTCATGGGCCGGGGGGTTGAAACCAAGACGTCACAGTAAACAGTCCGTATCCCACGGCAACCGATCACAGGTTGTGAAGCTGTCCCAATTGCAGAGTTCCCCTTTCCAGTCTGACAGACAGTGTTCGGGCTGCATGTACATGTTTGTGTCGACAAGAGAGATGCAGTAATGAGCTGTATTGTTCCTGTTGTTTGAGAATACGTGTGTGTGTGTGTGTGTGTGTGTGTGGGAAGAGGCAACAGCAGTAATGAGCTGTATTGTTAGTTATGTTGTTATCAGACATGTCATTACAGAGAAGCAGGCTGTTTAACACACACACACACACTTACAAACAGCTGTGACAGTGTTAAGGACCTTACAGTGACCTCACACACCAGATCTCTCCGCTGTTTTCAGTGTTTCTGTCCTACATTGTGTCGTCCCCCCAACCCTCTCCATCTTTGATTTTCTCTGTTTCTCACTGGCTCATTTTTTCCACCTCTTCGATATACATATTTTTTTCTATATGCCGGCTTTTCTCAAGATATTCCCAGTGATATTGTGAATAAGAAGAATA